TGGGGTGACTCGTATCATCCCTGGGCAGAGCTTTCCTATCAGTTCTCTTGATCATTGCGGTAGCCCTGCAAGATAGTTGGTGTGTCATGTCAGAGAAGAGAAATCCAAGGCCAAACACATGGTAACTGAGCAGTGAAGCCGGTGGTCAGCAGAAGGAGGTGGCAGAGCCATCCCCTGGGCTGCCCAGCAGTCGGGCTTGGCGCGTCCTTATATGGGATCCAACACCTGCCATGCCCCGAGTGGGGATTCCTGCTCTCCTGGTCGAGTCCCATCCAGATGAAGGATTCTGGATCTGGAGAAATGTCCTCCACACTTCAGAATCTCCTCAGGACATGGTGGGCTTCCTTCTGAATAACCCCACGCACCTTCAGCCAGCCTGTCGGGGCTGGAATGGAGGCTGCTCCCTCCTGGCCCCGTTGGCTATCTCCCCGGCTTGCCATCTGAGAGCATCCGAGGGAAGAAGTCCCTTTACTCTCTGCAGGTAGAAGACCAGTCCTGTCCAGTTTCCAAGTATTCTTTGAGTTTTAGAAACCTTCTTGTGGCCTGCTGTGCTGCTTTGCCTTGGGATCTTTTAAGTTAGTTTTAATTATTCAAATGTTACAGGAGAGTATTCTTCTTATTAAAAATAAATCTGACGGTGCAGATTTGGTCTTTGAGCAGAGACCAAACTCTCCTCCATTCTAGCTCCAGCTCCTGGGGGCAGCTGTGGGTATCAGTTGGCGTGGCTTTGGCTCTTTTTCCAGCAAACACACACACACAGAGTTATGCGTGTGTGTGTGTGTGTGTGTGTGTGTGTGTGCGTGTGCATAGTTACACCTATTTATAAAGCTTTTTGGTGTGTATTTCCATAATGACAACATGTTGTGTGGACACCTTAGTCCTTCGACGTCTCGGAGATCTAACTCATGACTCTAACGGTTGCAAAAATATTCCATTGGAGGGATTTACCCTAATTTATTGCCACTCATGGGAGTGATGGTATAGTGAGCAGTCCTCATTCATGTCTCTTTGGAGTATGTTTAAGTATTTATCCACGGTGTAGTGATTAAATGGTGGAGTCCTGTTATTGGCATCCAACAATTTAAATATATTCTGCCAAATTGCCGGTCACAGAAGGTTGTTTATATTATCATTCATCTGAATGTTCAGGGGTATCTCTCATACATGTACTCAGTTGACCTTAAGAACTTTTTGATTTTTGCCAGTTCGATAGATAAACATTGACATCACATTCCTTGTGGATTTCCCTTGCGTTTTCTTGAATATTAATGAGGTTGAACACTATTACATATGTTTATTGGCTATTCTTTTTTTCCTTTTTAAAAATTGTATTTATTTATTTGACAGACAGAGATCACAAGTAGGCAGAGAGGCAGGCAGAGAGAGGGGGAAGCAGGCTCCCCCCTGAGCAGAGAGCCCGATGCGGGGCACGATCCCAGGACCCTGAGATCATGACCTGAGCCGAAGGCAGAGGCTTAACCCACTGAGCCACCCAGGTGCCCCTCAGATAAGTTTTTAAAGCATTTGACAAGTTCCAGTTGGGATATATTTTAGGTTAGCATTGAATTTGTACATTATGTTGGGGGAAAGCGGCATTGTTAAGACTTTGAGTGTTTCTATCTGGGAAGATAGTATGTTTCTATGTCTTTAGCACTTCTTTTATGTGCTTTAATAAAATCTGTCTGCCTTTTTGAGCCCCCCACCAAAGAACATGAGTCTTTAATTAATTGTATTTTTGTCCTTTTTAAATTTTATTAACAATTGCTCTCATCAGTAATGAGTCAGTTCATTTTGGATTCATTTAATTATTTCTTTTTTAACTTCTTAAGTGGAAAGTTTAGTTCATTCTTTGCCAGTATTTGTGTTTTTCAGTAAATGCTCCAAGGGCGTGCATTTTCCACTGAGTACGGCTTGGACCACTGCCCACAGATTTGACATTTACTACTCTCTCAATCCCAATCCCTGCTGAGCAGAGTTTTAGTTTTCATCTTGATTTCTTTGTCCAAATACTATTTTTAAATTTCCAATCTTATTTTCGCCAGTTTGTTTTTCATTCCTACTTTCTGTTTGCCTCAGTTTATGCCTGTATCACTTTTGCTTCCTTTGAGATTCATGGAGATTTATTCGTCACCTAATACATAATGTTTAAGACTGTTCCTTGTACATTTTAAAAATAATTTGCGGTCTTTGTTATATGGACACAAATTTTCTGTATAGCTACTAAGTTGAAATGGTTAATTCTGTTACCAGTAATCTCTCTGCTACTGTATTCTTTCAGTTGCTTGATTTGTTTATCCTGAGAGAGGTATGCTAACGACTTTCACTATGACTGTGACTTTGTCAATTTCTTCTAGTCTCCCAATTATCTTTTACTTTATACCTTTTCTGAGCCATGCTATTTTTTTTAAAGATTTTATTTATTTAATAGAGAGAGAGAGAGAGAGAGAGAGAGATTGAGATCACAAGTAGGCAGAGAGGCAGGCAAAGAGAGGGGGGAAGCAGGCTTCCGGCCAAGCAGAGAGCCTGATGCGGGGCTCGATCCCAGGATCCTGGGATCATGACCTGAGCCGAAGGCAGAGGCTTAACCCACTGAGCCACCCAGGTGCCCCTGAGTCATGCTATTTTATAGGCATAAAAGTTTATAACTATCTTTTCTTCATAGTCATACTATGACTTCATAGTCATACTCACTATGAAGTATCCCTCTTTGGCTCTTTTCATCTTTTGCAATTTAAATTCTGTGTTGTTTGATGCCATTATTGATATATTTACTTTCTTTTTATTACTATTTGCCTGGCACCTCTTCTTAAAATCTTTTGATTTTTTTGGCTGTTGTTTGTTTTAGGTGTATCTCTTATATCAGACTATCAATGGGAATTATGTCATTGAAGGTGAAATTCTTCATCTTCTAACGAGTGACTTGAACCCATTTACATATATTGTGATTGATGATGTAGTTCGACTTACTGTCTTCATGTATGTGTTTTATTGTACTTATGGTTGAAAAGCTTCTTCAGCCTTGTATCCCCAGAGCTAACCATAGAGCTGGCCTCAAAATAGTAGATGTTCAGCAAATAAATATTCACTGAATAAAAATTTCCCTGAGTCCCTAATTCTGATATAATTTGACACCTTATGGCAAAATAACTCCATTGTAGTGGGGTTGGGACTCAAGTTCAAATTATTGGTAAAAGAAGTTCTAAGAAGGCTTTAGTTGCATTTCTAAGTCTAAGGAATTGTTCCTATTCCTGTAGATATAGCATCGAAGATTGTGAGTTTTCTCCAAATGCGAGGTCTGTTGTTAGTGGTAGGAGAGGTAAAGAGTCAGGTAAAGGTTTCAGAATTGGAGGAGGAAATCCAGGTTTTCATCTGCACCAGCCACACTGCCTGGGAGAGTGTACCCAGAAGAATGTTTCCTAGTAAAAAAAACTCAGTCACTGTTTTTGTTCTGGATTTGGGTCTCACGTTATCTTTGTTTCCAGCCTCACCTACCAGAGCACTGGATAACTGGTTTACCTTGGAAAAAATAACATTACGGCAACATTAGCTTTATAGCAGACTGCTCCCTTAGAGGAATTAGGCTGGAGAAAGACAAACAGATTAAATTAAGAGCTATATAAAAAATGAAGTCAGGATAGCTCATAACCTGGGACATCATTTTCTTACCTTAATTGACCAAGACATTGGAAACGTAAAAGGAGCAAATGTTCTGTCATGGTAGAAAGAATACTAGACTGGAATCCGGGGCCTCCCCGATTGGCCGTGCCAGCTGGGCTCCTCAGAACATCTCCGGAAATCTCTGTCAGTACAAAGGAGCTGGACTGGTGGATCTCTGAAATTTCTTCAGTTAACCCCGCCAGCGCCCTTAAAACTCTGCCATGATTTCCTTGTGACTCAAACGACGGTCATCGTGTTCCGGGACTGAGGATAAGCCATGCGGATTTCATAGCTTGGAGTACTGTGTGAAGCATGGATGCGATTCTCGAAGCTTTTACACACCACCCAGTTACTGGGCTGAGAGGATAGAGCCCTGTGGCTTCTCCTTCTCCAGTTGCTTCGCCTTGCTTAGAGCAACACCTTCCCCCAATGATTGGCACTTGGAGGAAAGGACGTGAGTGACAGGTGGACAAAGCCAAATATGGCTCTCCTAGGTGGACACCATAGGTTCCCTCTGTAGGGCTGAGCCCCGGCTGTGTCGTCTTCTCTCCTCTCTCCCGAGATGACATTCTCTTGCAGCAGACTGTCAGCTACAGAATTCCCTTTTCTGCCTGAACTTCAGTAGGAAGCTTGGGGATTTGATCCAGTCTTGGGGCAGGAGGGGTAGGGGTGGGAATGGGCGCAGGTCAGTGAAGCTGTGGAAGTAGAACCCGGCGTCCCACCTGGTGGTATGACCGAGCACAGACCGCTCCGAGCGGAGGCTCACGACTGGGGTTAAGCCTGACCAAGACACGTCTTGGCTGAACAAGTGGATGTTCATAGCACGCCCTTCTCCACCATCGTTTTCTTCCAATTTACCACAAAATTGGTTTTGGCATCAGTAGTGTTTGTTCCCAGCCATCCTCACGATCCCAACCTCTCTGTGGGGGGATGTTGATATTTTGAACAGTGGTTTTAAATTATTCTTGGAATATAGGGGATCCAAGAAGCAAGCCCTTGAAAACCCCTTGAGGGCAAGAAGAGAGAAGGCAGTGGGCAGGGCTCGGACCCTCTTCAACCCGCGTACTTATGTGGGAGTAACTCATTTGGCAAAAAGACTGGGAAGGAGTTCAATATATTTTAACTTGAGTTTAATTCCTAGTCGTGGGACTAGAGCTGTTTTCCTGCAGCCCTTATTATACAAGTGAATGGTTTGAGTTCTGCTCGTAAAAAAAAGGCTTCCGTCACCTGGGAGGACTGTGGTTTTCAGGGGTCATGGTGCGCCAGGCGCCATGTTCCTCATGGCACAGCTTCTCCCCCGGCCCTGGCTGGCTTTTCCTAACCTGGTGTCTCTCCCCTCCCAGAATGGCTGCAGTCTGTCCAGGCCACCATGATCCTGTCCATCATCTTCAGTGTCCTGTCCCTGTTCCTGTTCTTTTGCCAGCTCTTCACCCTCACCAAAGGGGGCCGGTTTTACATCACTGGGGTCTTCCAGATCCTTGCCGGTAAGTTGGAGATGATATCTAGTTCATGTGGAGACTGCCTGTGCAAGGCTGGGGAATGATGAGTCCGTAGAGGGACATGGCCCCAGAAGGACAGATGTTTGTGAGTCTGTACCTTGGATGGTTTATGTAAAGTACAGATATGTGTGTATGTGTGTGTGTGTACCTACACCTTAGAATTTGGGAACTCTCCACTATGCCATGGAAGGAGATCCATAGGAAATAAGACTTAGGGGCTCTGGTGGGAAGGTCCCTAACCCAGCCAGACCTGTCACCAGGAATGAAGCTATACTCTGGACACATAACCAGAAGTGAATGCAAAGAATATCAGTAGAGCCAAGGCCAGTCTTGAGGGCGTATCCCTGTACATTATGTTACGCCCCAAGGAGCCGTCCTTGCTTCGGCATGGAAAGTGGCCTTGATGTGCTGCTGCTCTTGTGTCCTTCCTCTAAGCTGTGATTCTTACTCTCCTTTATTCCCCCTCCAGGGTTCTGGTGGGCTTTGATTTACTGTTGTCATCCTTAGGTGTCTTCATTTTGACACCCCTGTGTAATGTGCCATCATTTCCAAACATGGGGCCATGATGACACACGAGAGGTTTCCTTTGTCTCTTCCTTAAGTTGCCTTCACGTTCTCCCACTGGACAGGTTATCCATATGTACAATATGCAGAGTCCGAGAAGCTCCTGTTATACAGGGTGATGTATTCCAACTTGGTCTCTCTATCCTGAGCAATGTCTTTTTTCCATTGACTCTTTATCTTTCTGCCTGTTGACTCCCAGTTGGCTGAGTCAGCAAACACTGGAGAGAAGTCAGGGGCAGATGGGGTGGTGGCTCCTAGAGTCCATGCTAATAAGTCATAAACTCCATATATACCAGAATACATCCATGTCCTGTGGGATGTTCTAGTATTTGGCTGAGTAGGCAAAGGGCTATGCTATCTCTTTGTTGGTTGTTGGAATGTCCATGGTGCTGAATCACCATCCTTTGCTCGGAAGCATCATTGGAAGGTTGAAAACAGCCTGTGTGTTCTGGTTGGATGGATGGATGGATGGATGGATGGATGAATGGATATGTGGATACAATGGCTTACACATGGCTATATGGTAAGGCACAGCCTGAAGCTGAATGCTGATGACCTTTTTCTAGAAGCTGGAGAGTTACCCTTTCCCAGCAGAAGGAATTAGACTAGACAGCTCCTTCTCATTAAATCCTTAAATACAACATTTCAGTATGTACCATTTGAGGATTTCAAAATCGAAGAGTGCTTTGCTACTTGCTTAGTTTTATTATAGCAAGGAAGGCTCCTGGAGTGTTGCCAATTTTGTTAACTCACAGATTATGGAGTAAGATATCATTCCTAGGTATGTTAGAAGCAGAGCTATCATTAGTCACTCTGCTTCCAGAAATAATACACAAAACTAGAAAGTATTCTGGGATTTCTTTTTTGGCTTGCCATTTACAGTTTGATATCAAGTCAAATGATGATCATACCTTTGCATCAATGGATGTGTCCTCAAGATAAAACAATCCAGACTTAGGAAACAGAACTTTCATCAAATGTGTTACTTTACTGATAAATTGAGACCAGGAGAGGATCCTGAGCCCCCAGGGTCACCCAACTCACGCAAGAACAACATATGCCTCCACTTCCCCTCGTTACACAAGAACTCTGTATTTAGTTAGGAACTTCCTTATCGCTAGAGATGCCGAATCCACCAAAATTGCCACAGAACCCAACACCGAAGGCAGAAACTCTGCTTTTTCAGCATGGATTTGCTAACCTGTCCTGTTCTGGCTCTCCTCTGAACTCAGTGCAAGCCCGTTAGAATTCTGCTTTATAAAAAACCTAAAAGCACATGATCTGTTCTTCATTTTTCCCCTTTGAGTGTAGCTTCTTATCTCTCATGGGACCCAATTTCAGTTTATCAGTTTGTCAGCCTGGCAGCCCCTATTCAAATAGGAAGTTGTCTTGAATTAGCCGTGTCGAGCCACAGGAGCGGTCATCACGTATAAACCTGAAGAATGTTCTGTCCCTAACTGCGAGAGCCAGTTCACGTGAGCTGAAAGGATCCTCTGGTAACCCCAGGCTCTCCGGAAAGTTGCATTTGATCTTGCTCTGTAGGGTCTTGCCACTCAAGTGGAGGACTAAAAGAGAAAGGGTCTTCCCTTAGAGATTCCCATACTTCTTCAAAGCACCAAAGCATTTTATTTTATTTTATTTTATTTTTTATTATCTTTTTAAAAGATTTTATTTGAGAGAGAGAGAGAGTGCGCATAAACAGACTCCCCACTGAGCAGGGAGCCTGACTCGGGGCTCGATCCCAGGACCCTGGATCATGACCTGAGCCAAAGGCAGAGGCTTAGCCAACAGAGCCACCCAGGCGCTCTGCACTGAAGCATTTTAAGTGGAAGCCACTGGAGTCTCCCAGGTGGCTGTTTTGGGCTGCTCTGCCCCCGCCTAGCATCCCTTTGGAGGGCCCAGCTGTGGTCTTCATAGATCACACCTGAGCGTGCGGGAAAGGCAGGTACAAGGTGTGGGGGGCTGTCGGGACTGACTGTAGCTTTAGGAGCTGTCTCTGCTTGCTCTAGATTATACCTATGTGGGTGCTTATCCGTCCGCCTGCTTTGCTGCCTCATCCCCTTCTGCTTTTCATAATAAGCCACAAGTCTCACACTTGATTACATACTTCTTTGGTTGGCTGCTTCCTGGAGACGTGTCAAGAGGCTCCATCTAGCTCATTGTTTTTCCATCTTAGATGTACATCTTCCATCTTTTTAGGGGTGCCGCCTGGGTGGCTCAGTTCGTTGAGCATCTGACTCTTGGTTCCAGTTCAGGTCCTGACCTCAGGGTCGTGGGATCGAGCCCTGTGTCGGGCTCTGTGCTCAGCAGGGAGTCTGCTTGAGATTTTCTTTCTCTCCCTTTCCCTTTGTCCCTCCCCCTGCTCATGCACACACGCTCTCTCCTTCCCTCTCTCTCTCAAATAAATATTAACTCTTTTTTTTTTTTTTTAAAGAATCACCTTTTTAAAAAGAGGGGGCTTTGACAAACATGCCAGTTCTCAGCCTTCATCCCTGGAGAGGTCTTGGGTGGGACTGTGCCTTGGGTGACTCTGATGTTCATCCAAGGTTGGGAACTGTTGGTGTAGCCATCACACTGTCCCTAATCCCACTGTAAGGTCTTCTAGGAATTTCTCTGCCAACCACTCATCCCATTCCTGGAGCATCGATTCTTGTAAACCCCCTTCTTAGAGAAGAGCCATTCCCATCCTCTCTCTGGATTTTGCAGTCTTTTTTGTCTTCAGAACCGGTACCCATGTTCTCAGACAGTGTTTATCCTGACCCCAAGCCAGCTGGGCTGGGTTACGCTTCATGAGAAAGCATCAGGAAATTCACAGAGATACAGACCTGAAAGACAGAGCCTGTGTTTGGATTTCTATTTAACAACTCAGGACCCAGCACCGGGCTCTGGGCACGCCACATAGAAAGCCCTGAATAAGCCGCTTGTTGGATGACTGGATAATTGTACTCTGTTTGGCAATTGTTCTCCAACTGGCAGAATCAAACGCGGGTCACATGTGTCGTTACTATTTATTGTGATTAGAACAGAGAAGATGGTAAAAGGAGACCCCTGAGTAAGTGGTTCCGTTTGCTCTGTTTCTTCTGTCCAACAGACGGATACCGACGTAGGGCTTTAGAACGAAAGACTTTAGGGGATGAATAGGAACACAGGGCGCTCCCTATTCCGAAGGGGTCAAGGGCAGCAGCAGCCAGATGCCACGTTTAGGAACTGCCCCCCTCGCAGTGAACCAGTCCAGGCGTTGCATTTGCGGTGCCCAGGTCGGAATCCGGGAATGCGGTGGGCGGCTTTCAAGGTGGTGAGGGTCGTTTGGATGCTGAAATCAGAAGCTGGGCCAGCAGGGCAGAGAAAGTTCTGCGTTGTCAGACAGAGAGCCCAGCGCTTTCAGAGGAAGGGACCTTCCAGCCTCTTCCTGCCCCACCTCAAGACCCTCAGAACCAGGGGTTGGTGACTTGAAGGCGCTCACTCTTCCAACCAGTGCCACGAGGCTCCTTGTACCCCCGTTTACTTTCTAGCCAGGTTCCCTCTGGCTTCTGCGGAGGTCACTGATCTAACTCCCTGAGTCCCTATGCTCCTTTCGATTCCGTTGATGGCTCATTCCTCCCAGCCATTATCCTGTGGCCCTTCAGATGTCTCTGTTTTCCCAGTGAGCTAAGTTAGCCCACCAGGGGGCCATGCCAGGCTTAACCCAGTTCCAGTCCATTCCTGTGTGGAAGTTGCATCCATTTCTGTTCTCTTCTTGTCCTCACTAACACCACGGTCATTGTGCAAAAGCCAACTTGGGTGCCTTCCCATCCCGTCTTGTTGCCACCCCGAAATCCCTTTCTCACGCTTCTCCCAGAGTGACCTTTCTGAAACCCACCGCAGATCATGCTTCCCCGCTGCTGACGATGGGCTTCCCACCACAACTTCCTCATCGTGCCACTCGGGGCTCTCCCACCTCCCCTCACGCTGCCCTCCCCGTGTCCTGGGGGATTCTTGTCAGGGCCTGCTTCCGCTGCCTAACTCTTCCACACCCTCTAGACTCGGGTCAAGCACCGCCTCCCCCCGTCAGGCTTCCCTGGGCCCCCAGTTTGGACTCTGTGCATGTCCATCCTCTCAGGACATCATCTGATGCGTTTCTCTCTCCCTCTCTTGAAATCATGTCAGACCATATTGGAAGTTTCTGCAGGCATGTCTGCTCCTGAATGACACTCCCCCCTGAAACTAGGGGTCATGTCTTATCCATCGTGGTGCCCTCCTCAGTAGCCAGAACAGTGCATGCACACAGTAGGCGCTCAGTACGTGTGTTCAGAGCCAAACACAATGGAGATAAGGAAGTTTCGAGACTTCCCGCCATTTCTTGCTTTGTCTTTGGCCCCTTGGTTGCTCCCATCCAAAGGTTTGGGGCTCTGATTACTCACCCGTGGTTGCTGTTGCTATGAAGGGGGCTTGAGGCCTCCTCTTCAAGGGGGCTTTAGAGAGCTGGTTCCAGATCCAGCAGCCCTGATAGGGAGAAACTCTCGAATGTTGTCTGGACAGGGTTGGTGGCCCCCACTGATAGCTGACTGCCCTTCCGGATTCAGGTGCCTACCAGGAGGTCCCTGTCACTCCCAGAGCACAGATGGCTTGTCCATGGGGAAGGAAGGCACAAAGCTTGCTGGTGTGACAGCAACCTTCCCCATGGGGGACCTTCATCGCTGCGCCCCCACCTACCGGTGGGTGAGGAAGCGAGTTACCACCCATTTACGGGGATGAATGTTTCGGGACTGTCGTGTGGCATCAACTACCCTATATCCCAGGGCTGTACAGACAGACAGTCTTGTAATGACATATTCCCTAAAACATCAGTCTCCTGACGACAGTAATTACAAAGCACGGCTTTGTGAGTTAGCTCAGCTCACTGCAGATCCTGGCAAAGTGCAAATTCCTCTGCCTCTGAGATGTTCCTCAGGCAAATTTCATGTAAACTAGGCCATCTGCTTAGTCACTATGCTTGTGAATCCTGCCTCCCTCTGTCCCTCTTGGTCACAGATGGAATGCTCACTCCTTCCCAGTGAAATCCAGGCACGGTTGGTCTGCACAGCTCTTGTGGCCTTTTTCATGAGGCGGCTGGTTAGGCGCATGGCCCATTTGGAAGCCTTGCCAGCGTGACAGGCCTTGGCCTGGCCTTTTCACACTCTGTTCCCTCGGTCACATTTCTCTTTGCACAGCCCTGCCCTCGTTAGGTAGGTCTCCCAAGAGACAGCCGCAATCTTTCTTAAAGATGTGAATCTGCACTTTGCTGAGGTGAGCCTTGGGGGGCCATGGCGGATGGGAATTGGGGATCACGGGCCTCAGGGCAAATAAAGCGTGTTCCTGGCAGATCAAAACGGCTGTCTTCCCCGAATGACAGTTTGCCTGCTCTGGTTTCCCCCCCTCACGCAGGCATCTTGGCTGTCTCTGGAACTTTCTGTAGGTAGCAGATCCTGGATCCCATCCCACTGTAGTTCCAGGACCATTGTGTGGCTTTCTTAGCGGGGGCCAGCAGAGTGGGAGTTTTCTCCTCTGACTTGGAGAAGGACAGTCTTATCAGAGTGGCGAATGTAACATAGTCCCACTTATGCACTTTATTGAAACAAAGTTGCAGTGTCCCTTGGAACAGCAGCCCGAATAGCAGTGAGGTTAGATGTAGGTGGTCTGGGGCACTGGGAGCTTTGGAACCACAGGAATCCCGCAGAGCATGCTGGATTTATAATAAAGCCACTCAGAGCCTCTCACAGACCCTGTTTTCAGGAGGGAACAGAGCGAACAGGGCAGGCTTTGTGCAGCTCCGGGCTGGGGTGCTGGCATCACCGGACCCCTCCCTTCAGGGGGATGCGGACTGCCACTGTGGGCATAGACCATCACTCTTAAATTTGCCTGCTTCAAGAGCCCCTAGGTAGAGCTTTTTCTTGTCCTTCCCACACCAAAAGGGTGCAGACGTAGGCAGGGGAAAGTTCTCCTGATTTATCTGTGTATCCAGTAACCTTCCTCTCCTCTTTGGGCTTCAGACCCAACCTTGGGGGCACCAGGAACTGTTGGAATGGACCAAGTCCCCACCAAGTCCTCTCTCTGCCTCCTGGTCATATCCTGTCCTTCCTCGTCCCCTTCTTGTTCCTCTATATTCCTTTGTAAGCCTAGCGATGCCCATAGGCATTGATCACTCGAGCTGATACAATGCAGTCCTGCTAAGGGGCCCCGTGTTCTGCCTGGAGCCCCGTGCTCTGGCCCTCGCGCCAACTCAGGTGGCAGAGTGTCATTTCACTTTACTGGTTCAGATGACTTCACCGCCCACTTGCAGAGCAGTTCCCGGGGTCCCAAGGGCTCCCTCCCTGGGAGCCGACTGCCCAGCCTTCCTTGGAAAGAGCTAGGCGGGTTTACCATACAACCCAAATTCTTGCCGTCGACTAGGAAGTGGTGACAGTTAAAGGAACAGAGACGGGCCAGAAAAGATGACAAGGGACCGCGGAGATGCTGGTCTAGGTCAACATGGATCGGATCCAGAGAACAGATAACTTTTTGGGGTTTCTAGATCTTTGAGCCCCTCCTCTCAACCTGGCAGCGCATTCCTTCCGGAATCAGATATGCTCCTCTCGCACAGTGTTGTCAGCCAAAGACTGGGCGACCCGGTGTGTGTGAGTGTTTGTGAGTGTGTGTGAGTCAAGAGCAGGGAGTGGTGGGGGCAGGTACCCAGGGTTCTATGGGATCCACACTGGGGGTGGTGGACAGGGGACCCCTCGCCGTGACCTCTCCCTCACCGTACTTGCCTCTCTCTTTCCCCAGGTCTGTGCGTAATGAGCGCGGCCTCCATCTACACGGTGAGGCACCCGGAATGGCATTTCAACTCGGAGTACTCCTATGGCTTTGCCTACATCCTGGCCTGGGTGGCCTTCCCCCTCGCCCTTCTCAGCGGTGTCATATACGTGATCTTGCGGAAACGTGAATGAGGCGCCCAGACAGCTGGTCTGAGGCACTGAGCATACCTAGGGGAAGGGAGGAAGGAAACCAGAAACCAGAAAAAAAAAAAAAGAGCTAGCCAAAAAACCCAAACTCAAACCAAACCAAACAGAAAGCAGTTGAAAGGGGGGGGGTTAGTGTTGACTGAAGATGTATATAATATCTATGGTTTATAAAACCTATTTATAACACTTTTTACATATATGTACATAGTATTGTTTGCTTTTTATGTTGACCATCAGCCTTGTGTTGAATCTTAAAGAAGTAGCTAAGGAACTTGACATCCTAACCGTGTAATCGAGCTCAGTATTTTCCGTTCTCTGTTTTTCGTTCTTTTTGTTTTGCCCAGACATGAAATAACTCCGTCTTGCCCCTTCCCTTTTATCTGAAAGAAGATACCTCCCTTCCACTCCACCTCATTGAGAAAACCAAAGTGTGGGTAGAAACCCTGAATGGCCAAAACCCTTAAATTGTGGGTGGCCCCGTGCTTCTCCCACAGAGACGGGTGCCACGCACAACCCCGTGCGAAGCCTCACGCTCACGTGCAGGAAACCCCCAAACTGGAGCCCTTGGCAAAAACACAGCCTGTGGCCTCGGAACGCTTGCCCTTGATGGTGGGTGTCTTGGTCACATGTCGAGATGAGAAATCGGTGACAAGAAACCCATGAAATGGTGCTATGTATCTACCATTCCTTAGTATCACTAATCTTCTAAACCACTCACTGGAAATTCAATTAATGGTTTTACAACATAAAGTAGAATGGAGACCTGAATAAATAATTCTCTGTAATATAAATGGTTTATAACTGCTTTTGTACCTAGCTAGGCTGCAGTTATTCCAATAATAAATAAATAATAAACACAGCCTTTATCGCTCCCACATTCTTCTTACGGTCGGAGCATCGGGACAAGCTCTAGACACCCCCACCCCGCCTGGGACTGTGCGTTCCCAGGGCTCAGCTGGGTCTAGACTGTTCTCTGCCTCCAAGGACTGTCTGGCAATGATTTGTACTGGCCACCAACTGTAGATGTAAATACGGTGCCCTTCTGATGCTAAGACTCCAGACCTTTGTTTTTTGTTTTTTTTTTTTTTTTTGCCTTTGCTTTTTTTCTGATTTTATACCAACTGTGTGGACTAAGATGCATTAAAATAAACATTAGAGTAACTCACTGATCTCTCTTGGAATTTTGTTGGGACCTTGGCTTGGGGGGGGTGCCTTTCAGAGTGGAGGAAAGAGGCGCTTGGCGGAACCCAAGATTGGGCTCGTGGTCTAGGTTGGCTTTTGGCTTTCTTGCAGGTGACAGGGAGCACATTGTGCCTTCTGTAAGCCTGTGCAGATGTCTGCTCGTTGGGGAGGACGAGGAATCGCAGCTGAAACAAACTGTAAATGGGCTGGAAGGGACTTGAGTGTTCATTAACTCAACCCTCTCTCCCGCGCTCTCTTCTCTGATGAACCACACGGGGGACCGTGGAAGCATGTCATGCGTTCACCTAACATATGGGAAATGTTGGCATGAGCAGTGCAAACCCCTATCCTCTAAAAGAAGGGGGAGGTCAGATGAAAGAATCACTGGATGATGACTGGAGGCCAGACTTTCGGATAAAACATTAGTAGGCATCAACTAAGTTCCTGATGGGGTCCTGAGGGAGGGCACGGGCTGACCATGTCATCTAGCTCCGGGGTTCTGGGCTGTGTCTCACCTGTGGATATTTTTACCCATCGACGTTATATTGCACACGTGCAAAACATCAAGCTTAAGATTCACTCGGCGTTGCTCTGATACTCATTGAGCACCGACACTGAACTGGGCACCAGAGGTCAGGAAATGATCACATATACATTTTTAAAGATATAATTTATTTATTTTAGAGAGAAAGAGTGTGAATGGAGAGAGGGACAGAGGGAGAGACAGAGAATCTCAAGCAGATTCTGTGGTGAGCATGGAGCCCAACACTGGCTTGGATCCCAGGACCCGGAGCTTAAATCAAGAGTCAGATGCTTAACCAACTGAGCCACCCAGGGGCCCCTAGGATCACAAAGGGTAATATTTTTGTGAGAGGAACAGGCACACAACTATATCGTAATGAAGGACAAACCGATTAGGCTCCTTGGATTTGAACCTGCCCTCTCTCCCTTATCAGCTGCAGGAGACTGGGGACAGACCAACTCTAAGATTTCATTTTCTCATCTATAAGATGGACATGCCAATGCCCAATTTATGGGATTGTAGAGATTAAAAAGAGACGGAATATATAAAGTGCTTATTAGTGTAGTGAGCAGTAGACGGAAAACCCTCTGTAAATCAGTGATTATGACAGATACGATGTTTGAGGTGTATTGAAAGGAGGTATTGATTGTTCTGGGGAATTCGAAATCTCAGGCCCCCACATTAGAGTCTCCCATGCAAGGGCTACCCCAGAGATTCTTTCTGTCTGTCCTGGGACCCACCCCGCCTCAATAGATTTAAAGGACCCTGCAGGTGATCCAGTACATAGTGGGGGATGATAAACCAGGAGCCTGTGAAATGTTTTTTAGACTTCAGTGTGGTTATGAATCACCTGGGAATCCTACAAAATGCAGATCTGGTTATGTAGGTCTGGGATGGGGACTGAGGTTCTTCATTTCCAATTTGTGCCTAAGTGACGCTGATGCTGCCATTCCGCGGACCATACTTTGAGGAGCAAGGGTATGAATAAAGCCACCTTCAGGCACCTCATGCTCTTGTGTCTTTGGACAGCTCTGACAGGAGGGCTTCCCCCTTTCTACGTTTTCAGTAGTGATGGGCTAACTGCTTGTGACTTGGATAAACAGGGTTGGGTGACAAGATGGCCACCAGGTGCACGTGAGACGTAGGTGATTGGGAAAACTAGGAGTTTCGCTTCACGAGCTTATACTTTGAAAAGTACACTTTCATTTCACAAACCTTCCTCTATAACATTGACCTAACACTTAGAAATTTATATACGTAAGAATAAAGCAGAAAACCAAAAGTGGCCCAAATCTCCCCACCTAGGAAATGCTCTTGGCATTAAAAAAAAAAGTAATACATATCTAGGATCATAACATCCTAAAGACATCTGGAGGGGAAAATAACATGGGAAAACCTCTTTCCTACCTCCCCATAGTCTCTTGCCACAGATAACTCTAAGACATAGCTTATGATGTCTTCCACAAAAAAAGACCATGACCACATATATACACCCATCTAAGTATTTGAAAAATGTGCCCCAAAGGGACCAAGCTACTACTACCATGGTGTTTTTTTCATTTAATGACATACACTGGAGATCTTTCTACATCAGCATATACCTCATTATTTTCAACGAGCTTGGTTTCATGCTTTCAGAATTATGCATCATATTTTGCTGTGTACCTACACCCTCCTCACTGAGCCCTGGCTCAGAGATTTTTGCCTGGGTGGAGAAACATCCACAAAACAGATAGTTTCTCCTCTCTTTCCCAGGAACAAACCACACCTGCTCCAGAGAGTGAAGAAGTTCAAGTCACAAGATACTTTCGAGAATAGTGGAGGTGCTGAGGGAAGGCAGTTGGGAGGAGATTGAAGATACAGGCTAAAATGCTGGCTGCCAGGTTTGCAGGAGAGAACAAGGGAATAGTATGGGTAGGAGGAACCCTCTGGGATCAGAACGAAAAGTCACACCCCGACTTCAGAAACTATTCCTTCCAAGGAGTTGGAATGGGACTGGATTAATTGGTAGATCAATTTATGACTCAGGGCATTATTGAAAACAATAGAGAAACCAGCAATAAATTAATGGGGTCTGACAGTGCGACATGGTCTGGGAAAGAGAGTAAGAAAAGCCTGCTGAATCCCCTGTCATCCCAGGATGACAGTGAGGGTTCCAAAGCTGTGCCTCTCTGAGGAACAACATCGGAGGTTGAGCACTGTTGGGAGGAAAGACAGATGCCTCACTAAAATGATCTAGTTATGGGTGTGAGGGCGACCTGGCTGAGACATCTGTCACCCCATTGATCGCCAGGGTTGATTTGGCCGATCTGGCTGGCTATGCGGGTGTCCCCTTTCTCCCTCACCGCTCCACGTGCGTCCCTCCTGAAGCTGCGCACTTGGTCAAAGAGGACGACCTTCCCCAATAGAGGAGAGGACCGTTCTTCGGTCAAGGGTATACGAGTAGCTGTGCTCCCCTGCTAGAACCTCCAAACAAGCAAAAAAAAAAAAAAAAAATCTAGTTAGTTACCAAATACAAGCATACCTCGTTTTATTGTGCAGATCTTGTATTTTTTTAAAAACTGAAGGTTTGTGGCATTGAGCATTGACCAAGTCTATCTGCGCCATTTTTCCAATAGTATTTGCTCACTTTGCACCTTTGTGTCACATTTTGGTAATTTTAGCAATATTTCAAACTTTTTCATGATTATATTTTTTATGGTGATCTGTGACCAGTGCTTATGACTTGCTGAAATCTCAGCTGATAACATGTTTTAGCAACCAGGCATTTTTTTTTAATTTTTAAAAAAATTTTTTATTTATTTTCTAAATTTCTTTTCAGTGTTCCAGAATTCATTGTTTATGCACTACACCCAGGAAACAAGTATTTTAAATTAAAGTATATACATTAGGTTTTTCAAACATGATGTCATCACACACTTAGTAGACTACAGTACAGGGTAAACACAGTTTTTATATGCGCAGTGAAACAAAGAAAAAACATTTGACTTGCTTTACTGTGACATTTGTTTTATTGTGGTGGTCTGGAACTGAACACATCGTATCTCTGAGGTGTGCCTATAATTATACAAGTGAATAACAGTAACAAACTCCAGAGTAGGGACAATATATTATCTAAAATATCTCATCTACAATAAATTATCTAAAATATCTAGTTTCCAACAAAAAAAATTATGAGGCATGCAGAGAAACAGGAAGTATGACCCATACACTAGAAAAAAGCAGAAAAAGTATCTATGAGAGAGGGCAGTGTCAGATTTATCAGAAAAAGGCTTTAAAGCAGTCATCATAAACATATTCACACAACAAAAGAAATCATGATTAAAGAAGTAATTGAAGGTATGATAATAATGTTGCATCAGAT